AATGGCAGAAGTTTCCAGATTTGGAGCAACTTGCTTTCATACACAGAATTATTTGTGGTGGATGTAACTTGGCAGATTCTTAATGACTTTGCCAAAGTATATGTATCACATATCATTGTATGTATTATTGTAAGTTGCTTCTAAGCTTTGAGGCATGAGGGGTGGTGAAAAAAATAAATAATAAATATAACCATACATTGTTTGGATGGCTGTATAAATAAAAGTTATATGAAAATAACTTGAAGTACAAAAATAAATAGCCTATTATGCTTTGCACTTCACAAGATGATGAAAATTGTGTATTTGTTCCTATGTAAAATATTCACTTAGGAGAACACATTGAAAGAGAAGCTGATAAGAAACAATAATTGTTTTATACAAAAGTAATTTAGTTACAATGACTTTCACCCATATACCCAAGCTAATGAGCTTAATCAAACAAGGCACTTCTAAAAATGGACTAATGTGTTTGAAATTACAAAACTCTGCCTTCCAAATTTAGATATGGATTTTTAGAGGACTTTAAAAAAAATTCCAAGTTATGATTGATAAGAAAAGATCTATCAAAAATCATGCCATATTTCCTAAGGGAGACTGTGTCTATATTTTATCAATATGTCTAAATTACAGGGAAAGAGTGCAGTCACTGACAGATTTTTTTTAAATGCAATCACTTTGCCCACATGATATTTACCATATTACAATTCCTGGGCATGCTGAGCATTAGGAAACCCTGGGTAAGCCACCTTGATGGTTATTAAGATACAATGCTAAAGAAAAATATTTCACAAGGGGGGTGCTAATAAAATAGCCAACAGCATAAGAAATACATCAAAATGAGAAATAATAAAAAAGGCAGCAACTGTGTTGAGGCTGCATACTTCTTATTTTGTAGCTAAAACATTGCTGAGATACAATAATCTGTTCCTTAAAGTCCAAGGGTTTAAGCCAAATAACAGATATAATTTCAAATTTTATTCAGTTTAACAAATAAGTGTTGTACATCTAAAATGTGCCCAGTTATATTCAGAGGAACCCAAAAGAGATAATTTTAACATGAAAGGCATCATTTGAGCCAAGGGTTCTAGATATTTGCAAATAGAAACCATCAGGGAAAAGTATGCAAATATTTTACATAAAAGCAGTCACTTAGTTTAATTACAAGTCATCTTCTAGCACCAAATTTAAAAATCATTGCTATATATTAGGGTATTCAAAATGTTATGCTATTTTGGAGTTTCACCAGGGACCAGATTATCCGTAGTTAAAAAAAGAATATATTAAACCTCCTGTGGGTAATCACCTTAGCTAGCCATTCTTACTCTTTCTTATCACTCTGCAGGGGCCCAATCCCAAACTCTTAGTTTTGTTCATCTACCTAAAGGCAGCCTCACATCAGTTAGTTTTCATAGTGACCCAATGGGGGAAAGACCCAAAACCAATGAGTTTCCTTTAGAAATTCCACCCAGTACCTATTTCTTTCGGACCAAAAAAATAGAGTCTTTTAGAAGTTGAGTTGGAGGATCTGTAATGTTGAGGTGCAGGAGAATTACATTAGGTAGGGATAATAAGTCGTCTGCTCTCCGTGCAATCATTTTTTGTGCCCTGCCATTCTGCACTTTTTCCCCTACTTTTACTTTTCACACCTCTTTGATGTTAAACTGTATTCCCTGGAGAATTCCATGTGTCTGCAGGGATCTGGAGGGCTGGCTTTGCTAAGCTGTTTGAATTCTATTTGCATGACAGACTAGATATAGTCTTGAAAAAGAATTTATTCTTGGAAAGGGAGCATCGAGCCACAAAAAATATGTCCAAAGCCAATGCTTTGGGGTCAGAAGTGAGGTTTTTATTTATTTTTCTCCTGACTAGAGCAGGAGAAGAATCCACTGCCCCGATGCCCCTGGGTTCTGAAGAGAGGGAACACCTAACCAAAAAACTTTCAGAGCTATTTCCTCTGTGAGAAAGCGAGAGCATACATCTTCTCTGATTGGTGGCATATGCCATAGATGGCAGCAGGAACAGCGGGGAAAGCCATCATTCAAAATTAATGTTGCAGCAGGCTCAAGCACAGGATAAAAAGAGATGAGCAACAATCCAATTCATTTCAGCAGCCTTTATTCTGTGCCGAGGCCTGTGCTAGGTCTAGGCCAGAGATGGTGGCTTCAGTCAGTCCAACAGCACTATCATATGAATTACAGCCACAGCTTCCCCTGCAGACTTTAGCAGTGACAGCTCAGAGGCTTTGCCTCTCTGTGAGCAGGAGCCAGAGAGAATGCAGCACCACGGCTGAGGGTAAAACAAGAAAAGAGAAACAACAAATGCAAAACCCCTACTGGGAATCCCCAGGATGATGGAAGATGAGCTTCAAGCAGGAGCCCTGGCAAGTAGAAGTCCCACATTATGAGCCCATGTGTTTCTCTCCTCCAAGAAACCTAGCTTACTCTCTTTTGTCTGGGTTAATTGTCCTCCTTTTCGGTTTATTGATGCACAGCAGATCCCTCATCAGACTGTATCTTAGTTGTGTCACTTATGTGTCTGTTGTGCCGCTAGGCTATGATTTGTTTATTCAATGGGTGGTCAGTGGAGATGGGCACACCAGTGCTTAGCATAGTCACTGATAGATAATAATTTGACAAATGTATGTTGAATGAATCAGTGACTCAACAAGCAAAACAGCATCTTTCCTTGGAAAATATCTCCAGTTACACAGGACTGTCATTCATTTAATTTCCTATCTTTACTAGCCGTGATCTCTTGGGCTTCTCAGAGGAGAAAATGGGGTCCAAAATTAGGGAACAGAAGAAAAGAGTAAGAAAAAAAAAAAAACCCTACACTGCATCTTCCCTGGACCAGGTTTACCCCCTTTTTTTAAAAAGCTAACATGGTCATATTGTTTGTCTAAGTTTGCAAAGGGGAGGGAAGAGACCCTGCAGGATATAAGTGCAGAAGGTTCCAGCTGAGATGCAAAAAGTGTATGAAAGTGCCAGCATTAATTAGCTGGGGCTCTGACAGCCCACGAACGCCTGTGATTTTATGTGTTCCTCTGGCTTAAGAGAGAGAACCATTGCCTTCCTTAACATCTTAGAGAGTTTTCTCTAGGTAAATATTTATTCTAGATTTGGAAAGCAATTAGCATTACCACATTCTCACAAACATATACACACCCCACCCCTGCTTTTAAATAAACATTCTCACATGAGGCTGCCGGATGCAGGGGATGTCCCATCTCAATGGGGCTGAAATCAGATTTACTTTGGTTTCCCTCACAGACCACAAACCAAATATATGATCCATGTCATTTTATAACTGCACCATGTTAAATTATTTGGCAGAATCACATCAAACATGAAATTTGTATCTCTGTATCATTAGACATGATACTAATCATGCATCTGCCCATTATGATAAATTATTAAATCCAATGCACAGGGTAGATATGCCTAATACTATATGAGACACTTGACTTTACTGAACCTTTTGATATTCAGATACTTTATATATCACATATTATTTGAGTTCTTGGGGGAGGGAAGCATCAGGTAACAACTAAAAACACCTTGGCCCAGGTTTCAAC